GCATCACTGACATGCTGTAAAAATGAGTGTATGACCTCAAGCCAGAAGGCTCAATTTTCAAGACTAATGACAAGCCAGGAAGCCTTTGAATGCACACCCATCATCTACCGGGGATTGGTGGAGGCTAATCAGTAGCACATACAGCTCTGCATCCAACCAATTTACTCTTTTGGGCTTCATATACCTATCGCCGTGTCCGTTTAAGGATACATTATTCATTTCCAACTTTCGGTGGCGATGATTTCGTTTTAAATGCCACTACTCTTCTCTTATTAGCGTACCTAAACAGCAAGTCTTGGGGCATTTGCGTGTTGCAATAAATTCTCAGTTCGTTTGCAGTTCTGCCTCGTTGAAAATCGAAACGATTACATATTCTGATGAGGGGAACGCCATCTGCTGTCGCACATGACAACAGAAAATTTATTCTTTTTTCAAAATTCCAACACTACCTGGAGCGTGAAAGTGTCACTTATTAGCAAAAGCGGAGTATGGCGCGTGTGAAAATTGCAATGTACCGTGGGTTGAAAATTTGACGGTAACGGATGCTCCAGTGGGGAAAGGTTTTCCAGCCTTGTCAGTGGCCTGCACAGTGACATTGTAAAACGAAAATGGATTCAGGTTGGATATTATGTATTCTGTCTTTGTCACCATAACCTTGTCCTGATATGTTGCATTGCGGACGATGACCTGATACTTGTCACCGCACTGACTTGTATCAATTGGAGGCAGCCATCTCACACGAATGTTTTTGGTATCCACAACCGAAGCAGTCAGTTTTCTTGGCACCGGCACGCCTGCAGAAAATACCGTAAATAAACCGTAAAATCTCGAACATCGTACGACAGCTCCTATTAAATGCAAGGCAAAAATTTCATGGCACATTGCCCCTATCAATCTCCTTCTCAAGTTTCTAAACTTGCCTTATTTAGCTGCATTCGAACACATGTGATTCGCGTGGCATTTAGTACGCTGCGTTCAGTCAACTCCCACCTTTCAAAATATCTCACGAGCTACAAATTCGAAAGATGAGCTCACGTAGGATACATTGGGTGCCTCAGCATTGAAGTGCACATTTCGCCCCTCCCTCAGGCATATGCATTTTTCAGCAAAGCGGATTACTATAGAATTGAATTGGTACATTGATCGTCATTATGGCAATTGTTTACTTGTATACTTGTGACTGCTTGTTGGCAGCTTGTAAATCATCCAGGTTATTCCGCACTGGCCAGCAGGCTTCGCGACTGAACATGAAACTCTTGGTTTAGAGTGCTTTGCTCCACCCTTGCACATGACCCAGTCTGGACAGTGAACAGGTGAATAGTAAGCCACGTGAGTGTGTGGATATTTCACTACCGACGACTGCGAATGAGTATCGCTAGTTTGGTATTAATAGAGAGATTTATTATGTCAACAAATTATAGGTTAGTTAGCGGGCAAAAAACTAAATTAGAGGAATCTTTTGTGATCTGAGGAGAGCGTACGTGAATAACCAGATGCCCTTATTCAACATCCCTATTATATTCATATGCTGCATTTTGGTGCCTGCTTGCTTGTTGAGATTAAAGGCAATCTAGGGAGCATACCTATGCGCATCCATGCTCACACCCATTTTAGAAGTTACAACACGGTACACCCAATCAGAACAAAGTATTGCTCATTTCAAATAGTTTAGAAACCACGAGGGTATCTAGGCAAAGGAACCAAGACCAGGAAGAAGCATTAGTGATGCCACCTCCCAGACAACACTGGATCTAGCAGGAATAATGTAAACCATTTGCAAAGTAGTGTTAATTGCAACTTACCACTGGCTGGCATTTGTACGGAACCAAATACTTTAGCGGGGAAAGGCTTGTCACTCGTGTCAAGAGTCTGGAGTGTGACATTGTAAACGCCAGATGGCTGCAGGTTGATTATTGTCTCCTCTGTGGTCACCACCGTATAGCTCTTGGTGTAGGTGCTATTGTTGATAGTGAGCAGGTACTTGTTGCCCCATGGCTGTGAAATAGTTGGAGCCTTCCATGTCAGACGGACTGTGGTTGAGTTCACAATCGTGGCGGTGAAGTCTTTTGGCACCGGCACATCTGAAAGGGTAAATAAACCGTAGTTCACTTGAAGTTTTGCATAATGTTTTCATTAATATCCGATTTTCAGGAATTGCTCTGAGCATTTGCATGATTAATGTAGGGTACTCTAGTTGACAAGTGGGAGCATGAAATCTGGTGGTCACCTGGGGTATGCTGGATGTCTTTATATTGAACCGAACCTTTCGCATCTCCTTCAGGCATCTTCAGTATTCGTTAATATAAGCTGAAATGAGATTTCCGGCTGAGCCATTGCCGTCAGTATGACAGCTTTTTTCATTTTTTATATTAATTAATGCAAGTCACCGCGCTTGCTTTCATGGTGTGGACATCGTCAAAATCGTCGGTCAAACTGTCGGGGAGGGCGGAGGGGGTGTTAATGCAAATTGGCATGCAGATTAATGGTTCTGCGTCCCAGCCAGACAACACTGCCTGGAGCGCATATTGGTACATGGGTGTTA